TGCAGCATCCCTGCGCGTCCCTGTGTGCTGTCAGCTGAGCATGGTCCCACTGGCTGGGTATTTGTCTGTGGGGGTATTTTCCCCCCAGTATTTGGGGCAGAGACGATGCTGAGCTCCCCCAGCTCAGCAGCATTCAGGCGGTGCAGCGCTGGGCTGCACGGCCTGCCCCAGAGCCCTGCAGAAGGGAAGGAGGGGACGCAGTTCCCCTTCCAGTGCCAGTGGTGTTGTGGGATGTACCCACCGAGGGGGCAAGCACTTCAGCTCGGAGGTGGCCTCCTGGCCCCCTCGGGCTTGGTGCAGCAGTGGCTGGTTGTGGGGTGGTCGGTGGTCCCCATGTAGGAGCAGCAGCAGCAGCAGGGCATGCAAGAAACCCTCATTAGGTGGCTGGCTACAGCCAGAAGTGCCCTGCAGGGCCTGAATACATTTGCATTGTAAGTCTATTGAAACCTGGTTTGGTTTGTTTTGTTTTTTTTCCCTGGAAAGACACTTCTGTGCAGCAGGGCTCTTTGTTTGGGTGGTTCCTCCCCTCCTGCCCGGCGTGGCCAGCGATGCTGCCAGTTGGGATCCCAGCGGATGGCTCTGCTCTGTCTTCTGCTGGCTGCTGCAGCCAACCCTGCAGCAGCGAACGGAGGGAGACACTTTCCCCCGTGCTTGCGGGGGATTAATATTCCCTTGGGTTAGAGAGGGCAGCCTGGTTTAGCCAAGGCAGCTCACTGAAGTGTGCATCCATCCCGGGAAAATGGCACCTCTGCACCTGGTTCATGGCATTGCTGGGTTTGTCCTCCCACTGGGGCTGGCCGGAGCAGCCACCGGGATTCTGGCTGGGGCTGAGCAGCCAGAGGGAGAACACTGATCTCACTGCATCCCCAAGAAACATCTACAAATAGACTTGGCTTTCCCACCTCTAGTTACTTTATCAGTGTTTGCTAAGCAGGATAATTTGCATATGTAAATCAGTAGCAGCAACACTTCTTGGCTCTCTTGGCTGTCGTTGGGGAGTGGAGCCTGGCCAGCCCAAGCAGAATCGCAAAGGATGTCCTGCAGATCTGACTTGAGATAAGTCCCAGCTGAACTTTGGTTCAGGGATTGTTTGAAGCTCTGGCAGATAGGGAGACCTTTGTGCTTGGACAGGGGCTTTCTGCCATGGGCGGTTTTCATTCTGACGCTGCCAACGAACGCCCCTTCACCCCTTCCCTCTCCTTTGCAGGTTCTGTGGCAGGAAGCAAACCTGGCCGAGCCATCTCGTCAGCGCTGGCACAGGGGCCGGGTGCGAGAGGAGCAGCCTGGGGCTGCAGCACTGGTAGATACAGCTGCGATCTCCTCCCTCTCAGCAGAGCGATGCAACGTGATAGCTAGGCCAGACCTTCATCTGATATTAGAGGCTTTTTCCTGTGAGCAGCCCCCACCGTTCTTTCCTTCTCTGTCTGGTATTTTGCGAGGCTAAGGGCTCTGCTGCTGTGGCTGGGTCTCTGCCTTCTTCCCCACACTTGCTGGGGGGACCTACCCAGCTCTGGTGCCCTGCTTGGCTCCCCAAGGGCAGGAGGCTCTGAGCGGCTGCCCTGCGCTCTGGGCACCTCTCAGCTGTGCCCTGAGGCTGCGAGCGGAGCTTGGGGTTGATGCAGCACAGACCTCGGAGTTTCCGTCCTGCAGGAGAGTGATACTGGGGGAAAAGTTTAATGCTGAGTTGGACTGAGGAGCAGCATGTTCAGGACACACAGCGGGAAGGATCTGCTGCGCTCCTTGGCTGGGAGGGTGGAAACATTTTCATTTATTCCTCTTTTCCCCCTCTGCAACCTCTGGCAAGGGAATAGCTGCTGCTCTGCACCAGCGAGGGTCAGCCCAGACCTCCTGGAGAGCCCATCAGAGTGGGCACTGGAGGAGCTCGGAAAGCTGGGCTCTCGGCTGGCATCTCCCACCGCAGCCCTGGGCTCTGCTGCTCTGGCTGTGTCCCAGCAGCCCTGGCTGTGTCCCTGCCATGGCTCCAGGACATCTAGGCTTCACCTCTCCCAACCAAAGGACTCTGGCTGCTCTTAGTCCTTGTCTACCGCTGCCACTTGCATGGTGCTCCCCAACCATCCTCTCTTCCGTTCTTCCTCCAGAAAAACACCCCCTTTGCCCCAGTCTGGTGTTGGAGGTGCAGGTGGCTCCGGAGCTGCTCTCTGGTTGCTGCCAGCCCCGGGTGCCCACCGCCAGCCCCAACCCGGCCTCAGGCGAGCACTACTGAGGTTCCTGTGGCTGTGGCTGGAGGAGCCTCTTGCACAAGAGTCCAGAAATAGCGATGCATGGGCTGGCAGGCAGGGGCTGGGCAGATGCCAGGCAGACAGACAGACACCAGGCAGGCTGCATAGGGCCGGCTAGTGGCGAGGAGGCACCGCAGGACTCGGCTTTTGGCTCTTGCAGCAAGGATGCTCCCAGCTGGAGCTGTGCTGCAGTCAGAGCTGGAGGTGGTTGGGGGGGTTGAGAATGTGGTTGACAGCGTCTCCTCACTCAGGACTGGTCTGTGTCATCATGGCGTGATGGGTGTCTGGGTGTGGGTGGGTGCTCCCCTCAGCCCCAGGGAGAGGACAGAGGTTTAGCTGCTTTGCAGGTTTTGAAGTTTTGTTGTTGTTGCTTTTGCAAAGGTGAAAAGAGCACAAAAAAACAAAGTAAAAATAAAGCCCAGCAGTTTGGTTGGGGCTGTTTTGTCCCGGCTGTGCAAGGGCGCCTGCCTGGGTTGGTGTGTGCAACCAGATAAGGCCCGTCGGGTGCAGCACGGAGGTGACTCTGCTTTGGGCATCTTGGTGTATGGGGAGGCTTTCTGGGACACCCGCCTGGCCGGGCTCTGGGGCACTTGGCTGCCTGGTCCTCCTGTGCCGTGGTACTGCCAGGGCCTGCTGCGCGGTGTCACGCCAGGGGTGGCCAGCTGGTGGAGGGGTCCCAGGGGTCTGGTGGCCCACGGGCAGTTTGTCTGAGTGTTCAGTTGGATGAAGAGGAAGATGTGCAAATGGGGGTTTGCACCGTGACGTGGAGAGGCTGGTGCCATGGGTAGGAGAGGCCAGGAAGCGTGTCTGGCCAGGGGGAGCATGTGGAAAAACCCCTGCGTGCGTGCAGAGAGCCGTGCATGGAAAATCAGCTACCCCGGGAGGCTGTGGGCTGCCTGCTGCTCCCATGTCTCTGCAGCCACCGTGCTGGATGGGGAGCTGCTCCACCTTGTGCTGCTGTTGCTGCTGCTACTACTGCTGCTGCTGCTGTGGTGCTCCCTGAGGTGCGATTGGAGTGCGGTTTCCTGCTGTGAATGGGGTTGATGTGCTCAGCCGAACTGCTGTCGCCTTCCTGGCAGCTCCCTGCGCTGGGCAGCAGGGCCTCATGCTGCAGGGTGCTGTGGGGGCCCAGGGTTTGGCTGTGGAGGATGGAGGGGACTCTCCATCAGGACCTGTAAGGGATGGAGCGGGGACAGGCTGTGGTACTGAGCCGGAGCCTGGGCAGGAGCAAATGGGGAAGTTGGTGGGGGACAGAGAGCAGCCAACGTGTCCCACCGTGCCTGTGCTGTCACCCTTGGGCAGGGCTGGCACCACCCGCACTAACAGCTGGGGGACAAGGCGCTTTGGCACTGGGCAGTGCAGGGGTGGTGGTGGTGCCCAGCAGCATCTCATGAGGCAGTTGGTGGGGTGTGCTCAGCTCCCCGAAATATCCAGGAGCAGGGTGGGCGAGGGGTGGGAAATGGCAGCTGTGGGGCTGTATCCTGTGCCACTGACTCAGCGCCCGAGACACACAGCCCGTGGGGGCGGTAGGCTGTGGGTGTGGGTCCTCACCATGCTGGGGCTGGATACAGCCCCCCGGGATGGCAGGGCTGTGCCAGGGGCAGCAGTGGCTCTTCACCCTGGATGCCAGGTGCCAGTGGCTCCATGTGCCCCAGCCATGCCGAACCACAGCCTTGGCATTGCTGCGCTCCCTCAAACCATATCGGCTGCGTCTGAGCCTGGTGTGGACATCCTTGGGAATGGGGATCAGGTGGTGGAAGTGCCTTGGCAGGGTCCCCTCAGGTTTCCCAGCCGGGGTGGTTGTCGATGCCACCCGCGTCCTGGCACTTCACACTCCGGTGGCTCTGCCTTCCCCTTGTGCCTGGCAGAGCATTATCCCTCCTGCTCGGTTCCCATCTGGCCCTGGCGCCTGGTCCAGGCCCTTCCCCACACAGCTGAGCCCGCGGGCAGGATGCGACCGAGGGCACCGGCGGGGGATGCTGCCCGCACCCCCGGGATGGGGGCAGCGGTGCCAGCACAGGCTGAACGAGGGCAACCTCTGCACTTGAACGCTTGGCTGGCGCCCTGACATATTGGGGTTGATGACTCTGGCAATTTAGATTTCCTTTGGCTACTTGCAGCTGTGGAGGGTGGTTTAACTCCTGCCTGCCTGCGCCCTGTTCTGCCAACCTTGGCTGTACGGGGCAGGGCAGCTCCTGGCTCCTGGGGGTCCTGGTTCCTTCTGCGGTTGCCAGAGCCAGGGGGAGCGGGGCCAGGAGGAGCCTGTGTCCTTCAGGTGTAGTGGTTTGAGGGGCTGGTGAGATTTTTCTGGGGAGGGGGCACAGCATCCCTGGGTCATAGGGAAGGGATAAGGCCATGATGGAAAGGGTGATGGAGCCAGGCTCTCCCTTTCCCCCCACCCTCCTTGGGGTGGCCTGGGGGGCAGCCGCATGCCCCTGTGCCACCGCCGTCTCCTCCTCCCTGGTCCCCAGACCCCTGCGGAGGGTCGGTGTGGCTGCATGCGGGGGGATGCTGAGCTCAGCTCCCCCCGGCAAGGCAGGGGCGGGAGGCGGGACGCGCTGCCATTGCCAGGCAGCACCTCCTTCCCTGGGCACCCCTGGCAGAAGAGTCGCCGTGTGCCCGGGCAGGCGGCCGTGCCCGGCTCTCCCATCCAGCCCCCGCCTGGGCCTGCGGCCCCCCGCCTCCCGCCCTCGCCCGCTGCCTTTGTTGTGAGATGAGAGCCGGCTGGCGAGGCTGAGAGCCGGCGCAGCCCTCCCGAGCATGGAGCCGCTGAGCCACCGCGGCCTGCCGCGCCTCTCCTGGATCGACACCCTCTACAGCAGTACGTGCCCTGGGCTGGGGGGCGGCGAGGGTGGCCGGGGTGGTGGGTCCCCCCTACCTGTTGTGTAACGCTGCATCGCACTGGGGAGGGATGCTGGGCGGCGATCCCGTGCTGGGGGGCTCCTGAGCTGAGTCAAGCCTGGGCAGGGGGCAGGCGATGCTGGCAGGGGGTTGTGCTCCCCTTCCTCAGCATCCCGCATGTCCCAGTGGTAGGGCAGCGCTGTCTGGAGTCGGTCCAGCATCCTCCAGGCTCCGGGGACCCACTGCCTGCTCTGGGGGAGATGCATGAGCAGGATGGGGAATGGTGGCCCCAGTACGGTGGGGCTCACTGGAGCCGGAGCAGCCTGACATCTGGTGCTGCGCACGGGGGTCCTTGGGGACACGGGTGCTTTCTGCATTGGGTCCCATCCCCGTCCCTCCATGGCCGTGGGAAGGCTCCTCTCCCCCAGCCGTGATTTTTGCGGTGAGCTCTGAGGCGCTGCGCCGAGGATGCTGTAGCAACGTGGTGTCAGTACCTGGGGGCTGGCAGCCGGCGGGGCCGGGCAGCGGCAGCCAAGGGAGACAGGGACACGGCGAGGGGGATGGGGGGGCTCAGTCACGGGGTCCCGTTGTTCATTCTGGGGGAGTGTTGAGCTGCGTGGGCACCCCAGGGGTGGGTTTTGGGGTGTGGGGTTGAGCTCGGAGCCTGGTGTTTGTGGGGCAGCGAGGTTTGGTATGGGTGGGTGTGTGGGAAGATGGGATGCTCCAGAGAAGGGGACACAGTGCCCCCTGCATGGATCTGGCATCTGCCATGCCCTGGAGGGAGCAGGGGCTGTGGGGGGCACGTTGCAGATGGCTGACCCCCCAAGTTTTCTGGCCTGAAGCCTCTGACACCCATAGCCAGAGGCCGCATCCAGCAGCAGCAGTCCCGGGGTCTGGTGCATCTGTGCAGCTTGTGCAGGCGGCTGGGCTGGAGCCCAGAGGCCATGTCCAGCCCCAGCCTCTGTGCGCTCCTCCCCAGCCATGGCATCTCTGCAAAGCAATGGCTCTGCCATCCCAAATCCTCTTCCAGCCACCCTTGCCGTGGAGGAGAGAGGTGTGGGGGACGCTGCTCGCTGTGGTGTTCGTGTTTTGGGGGATGCGGGGCAGGGTCTGGCCTTCATCATGCCGGGGAAGGTGGCAGCGGCGCGGAGGAGATGCTGTTTGTGTTGAGCCACCCTTTGGAGGAGGCCCGCGGAGGCAGGTCCGAGGCCAGCTCACGCATCCGTGTTGTCATGGTGAATTTTCACCCAGGCACAGGGAAGCTGCAGTGTTTCCCCAAAACCTTGCAGGCTCCATGCAGATGTTGGGCTTCTCCTGGCAGTGGGATAGGACAGATGAGCGTCAGGGTGTGCTGGTGTGCTCCTGGGGTGCCGGGGAACAGCCTGCGCCTGGCTGGAGAGCGAAGACAATGCCACCCTGAGCTGCTGTGGCTGTGCTGTCACCTGCCCGGGCTGGGAAGGAGCTGGCTGCTGTCCTTGGCTGCACTTCCTCTTGGGGACCATTGCACCGGGATTAGCCTGGGCCAGACCTGGGAAGACATGGCAGAGTGGAAACATTATTTTCCTGGGTAAAATAATCCCCCATGGGGACACGTTCCTGGCCCCGTCACTCTCCTGGGGCTGCATGCCAGCCTGCAGGGCCCCTGCCCCAATGGGTGTTGGTGTTCTCTGGGTGCCAGCCTTTGGTGTGTTATGGGGCTGGATCCAGCTCAGGACTGTAGGGCTGGGGTGTCCTTGCCCCCCAAAGCGGCTCCCCTAGGCCAGGCTGCCTCCCTCCCATGCCTGGGGTGGAGCAGGAGGATTTCCACTGCTGCTAAAAAACGGGAGCAAAAATAGCGCTGGGTTTTGGCATGGGCACAGGAACAGGCTGCAGGGGCAATGCAGCTGCGGGGGAAAGAGGGAGGTGCTCGGTTTGGGCTGGCTGGGTGGCAGGAGCACCCCGCAGGCAGGGAGATGCAGGGCCGAGCCCCTCTGTGTCCCCTCGCCCAGCAATGTCCCCCTTGCCCATCCTGGCTGCTTGGTGGTGCTTGGTTCCCTCCCTGCAGCGGGTGCTGGGGAGGTCCCTCTGCCCGGCCTCCCCAGCTGAGAGCCCCATAAATACTGCATGGCTGCAGGTGGCACAGCTGGAGGCACAGCTGGAGCCATGGGGACATGGCTCCGTCCTCCCTCCTGCAGGCAGCGGAGAGTCCCTCTCCCTGGGTGTCTGTTGGGGCAATGCCTGTAGGTTTCGTCCCCAGCTCCAGTCTGGGACTGGGACATAGATCTGCTCCAACTGGGAGCAATGGCTGCATGAGCGCTGGGTCATTCCTGCGTCCCCACAGGCCAGTCCCTTCCCCTTCATGCTGTTCATGCCGCCTTCTTCCTTGTACTGCTGTGGGTGTCACCTCCCAGGGTCCCCAGCCACCTCATTAAAGCTGTGTTCCTCGTTACCTTGCCGCTGAGCCACCCCAGCCCAGGTTGCCAGGTTTCCCACAGTGCTGGTGCTGCTCTGGGTGCCCCCATTGCCCTCCCCGTGGTTAAGCCCGGAGCTGCAGACCTTGGCCTTGGTGGAGGGGAGGCAGTGGAGCCTGGCAGCCTCCGAGTTGGTGTGCCTGGTGGGGACCATCAACTTTGTCCCCTCTCTGCTGCCTTGGCTCCACCTTAGACCCTGCCTGATGGGGAAGGGTGCTTGGGCGAGAGGTTTGGGTTTCTCTGGGGCATCCCCAGCCCGGGGACAGTGCCCGGCTGGGTGGGCTCAGGGGAGCTGCGTGGGGTGGGTGTCCCGGGGAGATGGCCATCATGGGGGGACACCAACACTAAAGCACCTCATGCTGCTTCGGTCCTGGCTGGTGCTGGAGGCATCCCAGCTGGGACCCATCAAAGGCAGGAGAGATGAGGGACACCCCACCCCGAGGAGGCAGGATGAGTTAGAGCTAGGGATCCCCTTTCCCTGGAAGCTGAGGACTGGGGGGAGATACAGGCTCCCCCATCTCTGCCCATCCAGCTTTTTTATACCCAGTTAGCTCCTGGGTTAAATGGGGCTGCTGCGGCTTGGTGAGGACAGCACCCCAGCCTCTGAGGGATGGTTATTGGCTGCTAATTGTTAATGAGGCAAGGTCTGAGAGGCGCTGTGGCGCCCTGGCAGAGCTGGGATGCATCTGGTCCATGTCGGGGCTCTCCTCCATCCCACCCCCAGATGCTGGATGGGACCACCCATCCCTCCTCACCAGCATCAGCAGGGCTCCCAGACTGAGTGGGCTTCACAGCAGTCTTTGATTTAAAGATTTATCCACTTTAAATATGAAGCCGAATGCAATATTAATGTGCTGAGTGGTGCTGGCGTGAGTCAGGGGAGTCCTTGGCCAGGGCAGTGGGGCCATGGGGATACGAAGTAGTGGCAGTGCAGGGTTTGGTCTGGGACAGCTACTCCAGCCCCACGCACCCAGTTTTGGCCAGGGTCTTCGCCAGGGTCTTGGCTGGGGTCCCCCCACTGCCTGCGGCCAGGGAGCCTGTGGGGATGGCCGTGGGGCTGCTGGCAGGGAGGGGAGCAAGGGGCCAATGTGGGGTTGGGTTGGGCAAGCCGTGCCCACCACCTCTTCGGCAGCTGCTGAAGGATTCTTGGCCCCAGGCCCTGGGCGGGGGGTGCCGGCTGCACCTCGCGGCCACCCCTGCCGCAGCCGGGTTCCCATCCCCCTCCCCTTTGT